TTTCTAAACATCCTGTTTGAAAGTCTGCTCGCATCACTCTGACTGTTCATTTTGTCGTTGTCAGTTCTTATTTGCAACGGGAATAAAAGAGGATTAGAATATTTTGATGTTAGCGTTGGCCTTCGTATGATAGTTTCCAAACTCTGGGTATTAGGTTATGGAATAGCAATTATCAGTATATAACTTCAGAAGTTATATTAACAATGCAAATGTGGTATAAATATATCAGACAATCTGGATCCAGCAAGCGTTTCATTTCATCTCTAAAGTACAGAATTCAATAGATAATGATTTTACACATTACTTACTTTGACTCGGAACAGGGGTAATTTTTCACTGCACTCAAAAATATTGGCCAATATGGAGATCAACGAATCGAATGCGGTTGTTGTCTTTTCGAGCCAAATACTCTCAATCGATTCACAATTCGGTGAGTCGAACTCATCTCGACAAGCATTTGTGTACACTTCAACGGCCTTTTGAATGATGAGAAAGAAACGAAGGGGAGGGCATTGGTAAATGTATAAGTCCATGAAAAAACAATATATTCAATGGAACCACGTTTATCCGTGGCATGACCAATATGGCCACAAGTGAGATAATATTCACCGAAAAATAAACACCAATGAAAATGGTTCTTCAGCTTTTCTTGCAGTTTCATGTGCAGCCAGATCTCAGAAAGACAATCGTTGTCCGTAATGCTTACGGATAAACATGCGGGGTGCCATAACGGTAATAAACTACAAACTGAGAGCATTGAAGGTGTTCTGTTGCATACATAGTAGCATTGTGGGCTGGTGTACTAGGCGGTATCCCAGCAGTGAGCAGGTTAACTTAAAGACTCATTCACATCCAAATTTCGACAGCATATACTGACTCTAAAGGGAGTGAATTGATACTTCAATCCTGTGGTTCATTTGGAACTAGTGTTCCATATAAGGGATTCTATGCCCTTCGAGCCGGTCTCCCACGTCCAGGTTGCTCCCTGTCCATGAACCGAGTGTGTGCACTTGTGCCCAGCAGTTCTGGACGGGAAGGGCAGTTCACGTGCCCCGTCATTAGTAACCTGAAATTTGGGCATATTGGCTTATCTGAAGGAGGTGATTGCCGATTTCTCGTTAGCCGAACTATAGACCCAGCAATCGCCTTTGGCTGAATTCCCTAACAATTAAACCACGAGGAAAGGAATTGATAGAACGTCTTCGGTAGCGGTCGTAACTGCAAGTGGTTAGTGGAAATCTTTTAACTCTGATTACTCGAGTAGCTCAGGGTTTGCTTGTTAAATAACTTCAATAAGACACCCTGCGAGGATTGGAACATTCTCAGAATAGTTTATAATTCTTACACATTGTAACTAGTTTAAAAGTTCTTTTAAAATCTAATACTGTTTCCCACCTTAGTTTCTAACCCGTTTACCGAAGACTATATTAGCTTTTATTGGAAAACAGACTGAAAAACATAGTGAGCAACAAAATTTTTCCAGGACTCTGAATTATCAGTTCAAGCAGACCTAATTTCGGTGTTTACAGCCATTCACACTTACTGAAGTTCGTATCACAATCGATTACCAGTTCCAATTAAACGAGGTGGACTAGTGCCTCGTGTCAGATTGACGAATAACAAGTTGTGCAAAAACGCTAGAAACGATCCGATCTCTTAGAGGGGGTTAACGAGGAAATTAATGCTGTCGGGACTTAAGTGCGAACGAGAAGGATAATGGTGATCGAGTTATTTCATAAAAATCAATACTTACGCGAGCAAGTGAATCTTTTTGTCGATCCGATTCCCGCCGTGCACGCTCGTAGGCATTATTAACTTGCATTAAGCAACAGAGGAATTCCGTTTCCATTAGTTGCGCTTTGATTAACTCTCTTTCGACGGGCAGACTTATTCCGGATAACTAAGATAAGGAATAGAAAACACGGATGCAAGAATGAATATCCGAGTTGTGAAATTAAACTATCCACTGCACTTCATCGCATCAGGCGTGTCCAAATGATTAGGAGAACGGCAAATGCGAGTGATCGGATGAAATCTTCCAGGACGAGGATGGTAGGTAGTACAACAAAGCAAGGGGTGGATTTATGCATATTCATGGATGAAAATGCGAATGAAGTGATTGGCCAGTTCGTTGGTCAGTTCAATCGAACAATGAATGAATGCCTTGGGAGGAAAAAGAAAGGTTCAACGAGGTTAATTACAATGTCACTTAAGTATATCTTAGAGGGGTTGATTAACTTGAGTTTCAGTTTCAGTTTAAACAACCATTAAGAATGCACTTCCGTGCGACGCTTTTGATCACCCTTCAGCAAAGAAAATAAAACATCATTACACTTGGAAGCATCCATTCTAAGATTATGTTGTGAAGACCAGTCGGTGAGCAGTGAAATATTCTGCATAAGTTTGGGATACACGTAGGAATTTGAAAACTTCATGCCATACACAACATCATCGGCATGGTTAATAAGCAAACAATCATCAAAAGCAGGCATGGAAGAAATATAGGTTGTGAACAGGAAGGGAGAGAGAATAGCACCTTGGAGAACTCCTTGAGTGGAGGGTAGGAGTGAAGGGTTGCAATGGTTATATTTAGTAAACTGTAACCAATGGGTGAAATAATTACGTAACGGATTAGTAGGCTCCGGGTGAATACCCTCCTCAGGAATGCTTGTGTGCTCGTACATGAGCACAGTAAATTGTTAGCCTCCATTTATCTTCTTTTTAATCCCTTTGTTTGTTAATTACATGCCCTATGACCGTGGAAGAAATGTGGTTTAAAAGAACTAAATGGTTTTCCTTCCTTCCTTTTTTCAAATGAAGATATTTAATACTATCTGGATGATAAATCGAGGCTGGAGTATCTTAGTGAAACACGGATGAAGGAAATCCTGAATTAAAATAAAAGCTATAGTTCAGAAGATAGTGACTATCAGAGAGAGAAAATTTCCATTCATCATACTGACCGGTAAATTGTGCTATTACGTGTAATGATCAGTGATAAGAGTCATGACACTGTACTTTTAAATCAATCCTAATGTAAAATCCTTAGTGGAATCATCCAATAGGCGAGGACATTCTATTGCTGTATAACGGATCAATACTGCCTTCCTATGATACAACCAAGCTTAACAATGAACTATCACTGAAAAGAAATTCACAGAGAGAACACGTGTTTATTTTTAGCATGATACAATACAGATAGAGAAAATGGGATGTGTCTCACAGAACATATTCGTAAAATATATGGCAAACGATATCAAGTATGTACCTCTTTGTCCTCATGTAGGAGTTTCACATTCTGTGCCTCGGTTGAAGCCAACGAATGAACCGTTTCGAGGCATTCAAGACATTTTGTGAAAGAGGGTAATCTTTGCAGAGGATGAGTTATTTTGTTTTGCAGATATTCAAGCTGTGGAATAGGAAAACAACGTTTGGATAGTTTGTGTGCGAAACGCAGACATCAAGAACGGAAAAAAATGTTTTCCATTTGGACGGATACTAAAGACGTCATTGAGCACAAAAATGCAGCTGGAAAAACCTAAGCCCGTCATATACCCGATGGACGACGACAGTATTTAGGTTACCAAGTTGCACTTCCAGAACGTTGAGTGTACCTTTATTGTACATTAAACTAAAGGATGTAAGATGATCTTCTTCATCATGCCAAAACACAATATGTGTTCAATTTATAGGGACTGAAATGTTTCTCCCGCTATTAGGAATGAGAATATCACAACAATAATCTGTATCTCTAAAGCCAAAGCAAATTAGAAAATTGAGAATATGTAACAAATGAGTAAGTGTAAAAATATTATTCACGAATATATCCAAATAAGATGCAACGAAAATATACGGACAATACTTCACTAACACAAGTAAGTTTGCATCAGAACATCATCACTTCATCACTTCTGCTCTCAAACCTCAACAAACCTTCCCTACAACCTGCTGACTAAAGTTTTGCAAACTTCCGTTATTTCGGCAAAGGCTCTATGGGACTTGTCGTTTCAATGAACCTCTTTAGTCAACAATCCTAAGAAACTGTTAGTCGGGTTGAGAACAGGACTACAAGCGGTATCCTCTAAAACGTGGGTTCCACAAAATGTAATCCCGCATTTGTGATGTCTGACGTGTGTATTTTGGAGTTACCGTGTGGGAAAGATGCTGCTCCACCCATCTTTGCAGTAGCGAACGGAAATGCAAAGGGTACCCGTGCGGTCTACTGTATATTTTCGACCGTCCAGGATCATCCATTGACTCAGACCAGTCGCGAAAAACCACAACCCAGACCATACTTGATGGGTTGTCGTCATTTTGCTCAATAACTTCTACATCTTCCTTCTTGACATCAAGCAGATGATAGTATCAGGTAGCTGATCAGCCCAGGTTAAACTTTTTTCTCGCAAATATATCTCACTCTCTTTCATTAGTGCGTTCAACAACCTCACTCACCGTAATCGACACGTAGTCAGAGATAACATCTATCTCAGTTTTTGAACTTCAGGGAGGGGTTTATCGAAGTATCCAATGCAAATTTCTTGTCGAACCCACTGATTCATGCTACATTTTAACTGCCCGCCACTGGCCGGTTCAATGGACGCAGATCAGACAATGGGAATATTTATTTTTTTCGGCCAAAACTCTTGGACATCTACTTTTTCACAAACTTATGAGAAGTGGTGGTCAATATGCGATGAGCACTTTCAATATTGCACGCAATGGATCGATCGATCGATCGATCCCGATTGTGATCTTTTGCCGAACTGAAAATATTCAGTGTTCCACCCATGCTGTTGTTGAAGTCAAGTTACAGGATGAGTGGGAAAAGGATCAAAGGACCTCCAAGTGTGAGCAACCACATAAAGGCTTGTCGATCACGGACAAACCTTGACACACCCAATTGACCAAGTGCGTGCTTGGGTACACGGACATGCACAGACGCACTCAGTCGTTTTAGTTTCCATTACGGTCTATCAGCCGCGTTGTTTTCTTGACGGATAAACTCCGTGGCGGTTTTAACCAGTTGGAGGTCTTCTGAAGTTTTTTATTCTCTAAATACACATTATTCGAATAATCTATTCTGCTCTAGAGTGAGACAGAGAGAAGTTTTCGAATTCTAATGGCAAACAACTAATCCCAAACTCTTTCAAAAGTTCTTATAGCGCGCTTTTAATGTTACCCGATTACCTTGACACGGTTGTCTCCACCTGACATTGATATTACACCAAGAGAATCATTAGACGGAACCTGAAATGTTTATTCAAATGGATGCGTTCGCCAATAAACGCTTTTGATCGAGATTTTCTCTGACGTATGATAATATGTAATCTGGTCGGTCAGTACCGTACCTCGTGAGCATAAAGAACATTGATAATTTTCCATCGTGGATAGTATTATCGGAAAAAAGAATTGCTCATCCCTCAAACATGTTTTGTAGTTATTTCTTATCTGACTGAACGTGACGATGAAACTTAACTGAAAATTTAACAGTAGGCTAAATAGTTGGGCAATAATAACAACAATAATAATGCTTACATAATCGTGAGCCTCAATTGTGAATGTTCGCAACCAGAAAGCGGCCAACGGAAACCACCCAAGTCGCAGAGCATTTCGTGTGTGCCCATTCTGAGCCAAAATTTGAGCGGCTTCTTCCAGCAGTGATGGAGCGGAGGAGTGATGCCAAATATGAACTAATTCCTGGGATGTTTTGGAATCGAACTTGGGATTGGAAGGATGGTTTAATCACGATGAAAAAGAGATCAGCTCGAAGGCTATACCTTAGGTACCAGACATAACACGAAAACCGTCAAAGAATAAAAAGTTATTTCAACTAATCAGTGGTAAGCACCCTTCGGTTAAAAACCGTTACAAGAACGAACCCTACACTGTCATTTTTCGTTCCTTATCTGTCTACTACAGAAGCCGTTATGGGATACACAGTAATTTCTATTTTGTCTTCACGTTAGCTAAGAATTACCTTCTACGCGTTACACAACTGCATTCTACAAAACCTACAGGCAGCCTATCGAGAACAAGTTTGCTGAGCGGTTGCTGACTTGATATCTTAACCGTTTCATGTCCTGTATATGCATATATTTATATATATCAAGAGGAAATATACATATTGTATACTAAGTGGTATATGGCTGACTAGAAAAACTTTCCCTGGAAGCACAAGACCGGTTTTGTGATTCTCGCCACTCGTCAGGTATCCGGTATTCTTTTTTAGTTATTATATATATATCTAACCACGGCTTAACGAAAAATATAGGTACAGAAGCGGAGGAAATAAAACAATCAACTTGGAGGAATAACAAATATTTTGTTTGTTTACTACACACCAGTTTTAGTTTTTTTTTCGTTTTTGTTTAGCTTGGGATTTCACACAATGGAGGATGCATTCACGCCACTGACTTTGGTTCGACGCCAGATCCCGCATTGTCTCTAGCCAAGGACAATCCAAATCTTTGGGGCCCCAGTCGAGGAGCTGGGAAGCTCCAGCGTAAGCCAGATTCGTGCACAGTCTCTTTAGCCCTCTGCGTGACGTCATAGCCTGCCCAATTCGCTGTTTATTCCAGCTGGACCGATGTCTGTACGGTGTGGCAGACGTTTCTCGGGCATTCGTAGGACGTGCCCTAGCCACCTTAGACGATGTTGTTAGATTATTTTGCTCAGCTGAATACTATCTGCTCATAGCACCCTTCGTCTGACTTCACCGTTATCCACGCGATGCTCCCAGCATACGCGGGCCATGTTGGTTGGAAAACGGTTGTCTAGCATGCATACATGCATGATATATGCTACGTAGCGTGGTCAAATAGCGCTCTATAATACTTTCCGAAGAGGAGAAAGCACACTAGCAAACAGTGAAACTGACATGCTTCACGTCAGCGATCGGCAAGATTGAACGAAGCGGACACATCTGATGTATCATACATATCTGTTTCCAATTGGTATGATTTACTGTATTTGCCCTATAATTTGGGTGCCACTCAAAACTGTCCCATTCACTCAGGACTTATACCTACTTTATCAAAATGTTTCGAGCATATATTTACTCTGTCGATCGTCCTATCACGCTGAACCTTCGCATATTAATGGGCTTATCATTTACAAATTGGATACTATTGCGAACCTCGGTTTCTGTTTAGAAGTTGATGTGAAATGTTTTTTCGTATTCTGAGTACTATTGGTGAAATGAGGCGGTTATCCATCATCTTCTTAAATGATGATAGTTCACCGTCAGACAACCAGCATTTTCTCCTATTCTTTAGTTTTCTTGTGTCACCAAGACAAGTAGTGAGTGCGATAATTCAAGGGTGATCGAACTAAGACCTGGTATGAGAGTATGAAACGGCTAACTAGAAGAATGGATCCGATAATCCACCTTAGATTCCCTGCATGGGGGCCTCGGGATCAATGTAACAAATAGTTGGACACTAAGAGATATGGCTGAGTGTTGTAAACAGTGGCGCTCGCGCATCTTTCCATTTCCTTGAAACCTCAGTCTACCGGAATTTTCCATTTTCTATTCAACGCTGCTTTCAACTTTCCAATCTATTTTTCTACCCCTTCATCCAAACGGGCAACCATAGACGACATTGAAATCCGTCTCACAAAATTGCACGGTAAATGGTTGCACAAATTGAAACCGTACTTTCATGATTTACTTAAATAATTTTTTTCTGCCTGCCGTCGCGGACTAGGTATCATCGGTTGTGTTGCGCTACTTCTCATGCACTCTCTCATTCAGGTCACATAATCGTACTGCAACTGTAGAATGTATGGGTCTTTGCTGTAAATAAAAACTGTAGTGGAAAACAAATCAAAAACCGATCGACTTTGAATCCAAATTACCTCTTGATTTTGTAGAAAGGTCAGTTGGTAACTCGCCTCTGCAAGCCTCGCTTCCAACTGGCCCCGTCTAGAACGGATTAGACCACGAGCCATCTGGTACCATCCGTGGCGATTGGGCCAGCAGATGAGCCAGTTTTCCAGTTCGTTTTCCGCTTGTTCCAATTCCCGTCGGGCCATGTACAATCCATAATGCAATCTAGCTGAATTCGGAATGGAGGACGATCGAGTGGACGTTTGAGAGTCCGCCATGTTCTTATTGCGCCTGTCACACAGTGGACTTTGTCGTGTGATCAAATCGGAATCTGAACAGAGTGTTTCCACACGGACTAAAACAGCATGAAGCCAAAGATCCTCATCGAAATCATCCAATTGCTGCATAGAAAAGAAGAATTCAACGGGGTTGAAGCAGTTATCGAAAATCTTTCGAATAAATGAGAGGGGGGGAGGGGAGAAAATAAAAAATCCGATGGATTTTGATCCATTCGATTAGCAATAATGTATACTGATTTCGTTTCTGGTAATAATCTACTCACATTTTTGAGAGTGGTCTCAGGTTGGCATGGAACTGGATCCTAGGTTGAACAACAGCTAAGCTGCATATGAACAAACCATTTGAGTATCAGTGAGAAATCGTTCACGAAAAATGTGCATTCTAGTTCAATTGGATGTGTTTGTCATGCATTGTGTGACCTCATCAATGACCTGTTTACTTTCTGTGGCTAACCCATTGTGGTACTTGCTTGGTTGATGCTTCAATAGAACATAATAGCTCAGTGAAATTTGAAAAAATGAAACAGTGTTAATGAAGTCACCGCAGAGGAAAAGGAGCCTTGGAAGTAGATGGATTTGCAAATAGGTCATCGGTTTCTAGTTTGTGCCTGAGCTTTTCGGATGAGTACGGACTTTGAGAACAAAATGAGTGTGGAGTAATATGATAGGCAGACAATGAATCTTGGTCTTACGGGTAAATATGTATGAATATGGATATACGGGAGATTCGTTAGATATTTCTCTAACGATGAACGATTTCATTTTTACAAACCTGAAATTGCACGATGATGGAAAGTTACAGTGCTTATTGTGATAATAAGTAGTATGTGAATGACTAGACAAAATTTCCATGGAAGCACACGACTAGTTTCGCGGTTCTTGTCGCTCGTCAGGCATGCATATCCGGTAATCTTCTGTCCGTTCATAAATGTACCCAGGAGATGTATTTTCGTCACAATAACCTTGTTTGCAACACCGGGTGACCATTGATAGACAGCTCTTTCAGAGTCAGTCCAATGAAGAATCAATGCTATGATTCGATGTTTTGTAAGGGGGTAAGATGGTATATATGTATATATTTAACACCGGCT